GTTATTGTTAGCGTCAGTATAAGTATTCCTCAATGTTCTTGGCAGCAGAAGTGTGAATATTAGGGCAGAGGCACCCATATAAACTGCTTTTATCCGTGATCTCTTTTATCTCTAATGATCTTCTTCCACGTTACCCAGAATCCTGAATGTAGTCAATTTCCACAAATTGGTTGCTAATTAAATGCTATAATTATTATCTTTGTTAAATAAAAATACAAAAATCCAGATAAATTGTACTACTGCATATTTTTTGCTATGGCATCAGTAGGGTGACCAGCGATCGGTGGTGACCTTTGGAATGGCTAAGTAATTTGATACTGCAATTATATGAACTTTGATACGGAAATGTCAATATTGTGATATGTTTAATGTTAGTAAACGTTTGTTTAGTAAACGCGAGTTGGAGTAATTAATTGCGATTAGCACGATTTCGAAGCGATACAAAAAAAGAATAGAGATATCAATATGCATGTATTTTTGTACTTTACGCGATATTTCCGATAATTGTGAACAGATTTTAATTATTCTTTTTGTAGATGAATAAATGGAATTGTTGTCGAGTAATCCCGGTATAGAATAGGCCACCCCTTCCTTTCCTGTGGGTGTCGTAAGAGGCGACTAAGGGAGGGCAAGGGATATATGCTTTCAGTTAAAAAAAAAGAATTTTCTAAATTAGTTTATGAATGACGGAGTTGGGAGAAATGGATTGTTGTCTTGTATTAATTTGTATATATTCGTGCGAGGCCGCGGCGGATCGCTAGTCAAGTATAAATCTGCCGGAATCTACTCGTAGAGGCATACTTACTCATGGTGGGTCTCACAATAGTACATGGAAACAGATCAGCACACTTCACGACTTCGTGCTCGGCTAAATGTTTTGTGAATGTGTATGTATTTGGGTGGCTTTTCAGGATTCTGAAAATAAATTCATCGCTTATTATAAATTGCCAGCTAACCTTATGAACTGGGGGGAAAGGGATTGTTAGTAATGGAGTCAAATAGCCCCATTACTAGCAATATACCCTATCAGGTCGACCTCCACGTGGTCTCCCCTGGAAACCATTGTGTTTAATTGTAGTTAAAATTCGTCGCGATGGGCTAAATGATCTGCTTTCATCTTTATTTGTCATCTCTCACTAGTAACCCGCCAGTGTACACCGATAACGCAGGCGGGGTTACTATACTATTATCACCCATTTAAAAAAAAAAAGGGACAGTTCTGTGAGTTTGAAATTACCCCGTTTTTTGAAGTCGATTTAAAAGAAAACAAAAAGACCCGAATTATTCAGCGAAATTGTTCGGTCAGTTGTAGCGAACGTGCTCACTGCTTGCCACTTTCTTTCGACGAAGAAATAAAACCGTTCAAAAGAAGTAGTCTTTTCGCCTGAATTTTTTACTAGTTACTAGTTTTTACTTGCGACTTCGTTCGCGAGGCCGGGATATTTTTTTTATACCACTGAGGTGGCAAACAAGCATACGGCCCACCTGATGGTAAGCGGTTATCGTAGCCTATGAACGCCTGCAATACCAGAGGAATTACGCGCGCGTCGCCGACCCTGAAGAAACCTCTTTCCCCCCCCTTTGAAGAACCCCATGCTGTAGTCTCTTGGGAAAACCTCGGCAGGGAGCTCATTCCATAACCTGAGTGTTCGTGGGAGAAAGCATCTCTGAAACCGCGTTGTACGCGACTATTTAGGCTGTAAGGTATGAGGGTGAACTCCCTGTCGATATGTTTACTGACCCGGATAAAAAGTAGCCTGTACGCTTTCTATATAGCATTGTACTTTGTGGCATAATATAGGGGAAACCTATATTCAGCAACAGATTGTAATGACGATGAAGAGCTACTCTTCTTACTGAACCAGAAGCCTAGCAAAAACGCTGCTTGTTGACAAAAACGACTGAGATTGACAAAAGTCGATTGCTTGGGTACCTCTGTCCCATTCGTGTTTCAACCGTGAAACAGTTGTGTTTGCACAACTGTGTTTCAGTTTGAAGGGTGGGATATAGCGTGAATTTACTGGGTACAGAGGAATAACAACGAAAGGGGGTATCATGGGCGAAACAGTATACTCTGTTATGTCCATGGTACTGCTCATGTCTATAGGCGACGGTTACCACTTTCCATCAGGTGGGCCGTCAGCTTGTTTGTCATTCTAAGTTGTATAAAAAAAAACATGTGTAAAGCATAGTCGTATCCAGCTGTTTGATACGTTACAGTCGATCGATTTCGATTATCGACAGATATTGCACCCTATCTGAACTACCCTTTACACGCTTCACTGACTGTGGTGGTGCAGCTTTAGATGACTTGACCGCAGTGCACGGCGATTGGGCTCAGTGCTTTATTCTGATGATATTATATATTTTTTTTTATTTAAATTTCCTCTTTTTGAAGCAACTAATTCTCTTTCAGCCAGCTCTATTCGAGGCCATATCTTTGACCTTCATATACGACTTGACACCTAGTATTTTCTTTATCTAATATAGATATTTAATAATTTTATATTTTATCTCTGTTTACAAATACTGTAATAAGGGGGGAAGGGATTGTTAGTAATAAGGAGTTTAGTCCCCATTACTACCAATATACCCTATCAGGTCGACCTCCACGCGGTTCCCCCTGGAAACTATCGTGACCAATTTATCATTGAATTCGTCACAATGGGCTAACTGACCTGCCTTTTCATCCTCACCTATCACCGCTTACTGTATACTGATAGCGCAGGCGGGGTTACCATACCATTTTCACGCATAAAAAAAATACTGTAATTAACCGTGGTATGTTACCGGTTGTCAGATTAGACTGGTTTGTTTCTAATAAACTCTAATAATAATCTCTTAGAGAACATTTTAAGCAAACAGGTATATTTACTGTTCCCTCGCAATATATATACGAAAACATTATGTATGTACGTAAAAATATAAATCTTTTTAAAAATAACAGTGACACACACAATTTCAATACAAGAAATAAAAACAAATTGAATGTTCCTTGTTATCGCCTTAGAAAAGTCAGTACATCTTTCATGGGGAACTGTATACGTTTTTATAATAAACTTCCAGATGACGTTTTAAATTTAAATGAGAGAAAATTTAAGACATATATAAAAAGGACTCTCTGTACAAAAGACTGTAAATGACAAAACTGCATGGATTTGAATTTTGTATTAATGGGAATTGTATTGTAAATGTAATTATTGTATTTTTTTTTAAATCAATATTATTTTATATAGTAATTATTATAATTATAGATTGTCATATCATAAGAATCTGTAACAGATGTATATGAATAAAGATGATTGATTGATTGATTGATTGAAACGATATGTAAAAATGTTTGTAAAAAATTTATTACCAGAAGTTACGAAAATTCCATTTGGTATTGTGGGCTTATTTCGTTGTAAACATATTAGGTGGAAACACGGTGATAGGAGTTACTCCAAATTGTAATAATATGAATATAACCGTCGTATTTGCATGGTCCTGGCATAGAATAGGCCACCCTTTCCTTTCCCGTAGGTGTCGTAAGAGGCGGCTAAGGAAACTTAATGGTTGAGGGATAAGTGACAACGTCTCTCTTAAAATATCACCAAAGGTAAACAGCGCCAACTCACCTGTCAAATAAGTAACTACTGGCAAAACCTTCCAGAGGGGAGACTTTTGTTCAGCAGTGGACAGGGGGATATAATAATGATGATAAGTATAATGAGAGTGGATCTTATTTGTAAAAGTCTGCTACCTCTGTCTTTTTTTTATACAACTTAGATTGGCAAACAAGCTGACGGCCCACCTGATGGAAAGTGGTAACCGTCGCCTATAGACATGAGCAGTACCATGGACATAACAGAGTATATTGTTTCGCCCATAATACCCCCCATGCGTTGCCATTCCTGAGGACTCAGATGTTATTCCTCTGTATCCTGTAAATTCATGTCGTATCCCTTAGGTGCAATTCTGTGGCACTTACCATCATTAAGCCATATTGTTTACGTAGTCAAATTTATTGTAATATTTTAAAATAAATTTATGGTTCTTAACTGGTTTCAGAAATAAAGATTGTGTTCCACAAAGAAAGAAAGTTGACTTTAATTAGGGGAAAACCAGTTATTTTGATGTAAAAACTAAATTATTAAATTGATTTTGATAAAATTTCTAAGGGACCAATCTATAAGTATATCTTTTTAGACAAAAAAGGATTATCTAAATCGGTTCAGAACTGATAGAATTATCAAACAAACATAAAAAAATACAACCGAACTGAGAACCTTCTTCTTTTTGAAGTCGGTTGAAAAGGAGGATTTGTAACAGATTATTGATACATGAATTTTTATTCTATATTTACATATTTAAAAATGAAACGTTTACAATAGAATATATTTAAACAGTTAAAAAAAAATCTTTGAGATCACTGCCAGCTGGTGGGGTACTTAGGAGACTTGCTGCATTTCCACGCTGAATAGCTATGGAAATGCGTAAAAAAAAAGTAAAAGCAAAAGTAAAAAAAAAAATAGTATAATGTAATAGTTTAGTGAGTTTTTTTTTATTTTTAATACATGTTCAATTTTGTAGTCGATATATTTAAAAAAAAAAAGTTGTTTATTAATAATTCGATTGTCGTGAAATAATAAATAATAAACCAATTTGAATATTCAAATTTGAACGCGCATTAATATTTGTTTTTATCTGTCGCTACTTAATTACAATAATTGCTTTTTACATGAAACCTTTTCCCTTAAATGTTTAATAAATGTTTAACAACCCTAACAAACCTCAGTATACAAATTAGGCTCAACCCCCACCCTTGTGAAGGGAAACACGATTGGTTCCCACCGTTTTTCCAAACCACCAATATTTTTCGTGAAAACCGTGAAAAGTTAAATACGGCTGTCTCGCTCTGGCGCGTGTACCGTTCCGCTAGCTTGCTCTATCGCACGCAAGGGTGGCATAGGAGAATTTCGCGGTATCTCAGTGCCTTCTAAGTTTAATTTGTTGACGGACGTTTATTTGAACGAATAAGATTTTTTTTTAAATAAAGAACTGTGTTTGCCTGCCAGTGTTTCTTGGCAAATATTTATAATTCTAAGTAGTGGTTTAGGAAAAACAATAGAAAAAACATTACTAGATTAGAACAATAATTACAGGATAAACTCAGAAGTAAAGTGAATACAGATTAACTACGTAATAAGTAGAAAACGTAGTATTATAGACTTTGGCGTTATTTAAATACTTCTTTATTAAACACAGTGAATTAAAGTGTTAATTACTTTGTCTGTGAAACAATGCGTTAGCACAAGTTTGCATGTATATGAATTAATAAGTAATTTTGAGTAACGCGATGTGTATTATAGGATTTTTGGTAGATGCGACATAAAAGTGAGGATGACAATGTTTTTCTAATAATAAAATGGAATATTCTTGGCATATGGAGGACACCGGGGCTCAAGAAACTAATATAAGGACTGCAAACAGATTACCAACGAGAAGTCAAGGTATATTTCCCAATATAAATACATAACACCATAGATAAAAAGCATTATAAAAAACGCACCAAGTAATTTGAAAACAAAAAGGAAAATTGTACAATAACCAATTAATCATTTCATTATCATTTTATAGTTATAGTTTATATTTTATAATAATTTTATTATAGTTTATGTATATTTTCATATCTAAATATTATATTTTTTATGCAAAAATATTTTATTAATTATTTACTAGTTATTTCCCGCACGTTTTTCCGCATGAATCAGTATATAAAGTATCCTGTGTGTGTGTGTTTAAATATCTATAAAATTCTTTTAACAAAATTAGGTAACACACATACAAATATTTTTAGAAATTTTCATTTATAATATCTTCTCCCTGTTATTTCTTTTATAACATCAGTAAGATGAACCACTCAGTATAAGTTATTCTCTTTTAATTTATCGTGAGTTATTTTTAATTAGGTTTTAACTTACATTTTTTTATGTATTGATTTACTTAAATAATACATATATAATCCAAGTACATATAACACTTGCTGAAACGGGAAACGTTTTGCTCCCTACCGCCATCTACATGGTCCATTTTCTCTTATCGTAATAAAAACTATATTATCTCAATTTGAAACAAATACATTATTTATACGTTTTCATTAAAATTTATTGAACGGCTATTATCGTGAACGAACGTGGCGATACGGGATTTTTATATAAATAAGTTTTTAAATATTATTTTACAAAAAACACGGACCCTAATTACGACATGATTATAAAATCCAAAAATTACTTATTATGATCATAACTCATCCTTATCATCATCATCTTCTTATCCTTATCTCAATTATTATTTAGGATCTGCGTAATATGTTTTTCTTTGTTTTGGGGGGTATAATGGGCGAAACAGTATACTCTGTTACTGCTACTATGGTACTGCTCATGTCTATAGGCGACGGTTACCACTTTCCAGCAGGTGGGCTGTCAGCTTGTTTGCCATTCTAAGTTGTATAAAAAAAAAAAATTGTCCATTCATCTCTATTCACAGTCATTTCCGCATTCACTCCCATTCTGACCATATTATCTTTCACAGAGTCCATTCATATTTTTAGGCCTTCCTCTGCCCTTATAGCCGTCCACATTAATTTTTTATACCTTTCTTAAAACATCACCTATAATTGAGTATCATTAATCAATATACATATTTAGAATTGGCTATAACCTAATTGTGAACTTTCTCCATTTCGAAAATCGTTGAAAAACAGTTTTAAATAGCTTTTAAATAAAATATAAATTGGAATAACAAAGACAGATTGTATACTATATTATACGTATAAAAGTTAAGTTTCCGAAATATATATAAAAAAAACGGAAAAAAGTTTTGTGACAATTAGTTCATTACAGGAGGCTTTTAATTTTCTAACGATTCTTGACCAATTTTTCAGTTGGAAAAATCGTTAGATTCAGTAGTGAAATACTAACTTAAAAGAGTGCTAAAAATTCAAATTTTGAATGGATGAATGAATGAATATACATACTTTATTTGCATTATACAATATAAGAAATAAACAAGCTATGTAATAAATATAAAATCGTATAAGTACAGTAAGGCTGTATTATTGTCGACAGCAATGTTTCCAAGACAACCTTTTAGCAGTATATATAGTAATAGAAGATTTAAACATGTTTTATTTGCGTGTATAAATTGTACAAGAATTCCTGCATAGTGTTAGAACACAATTAGAACACTGTTCAACTGGTTTCAAAATAGATATTTTAAAATTAGGTGAAATTTTTTTATGAGATATGATATTTTTTTTAATTTTTAACTAATGATGATTATTTTATGATTAATGAATTTACTTCTTTATAACCGTTCATTACACATATATAGTCTATATTTAAAGGTTTTCTTTTGTTAAAAAAATTATTTCTTGTTTTTTTTTTATTCGTGTTGCCATTATACGTCATATCATTCAGACTATTTTTTAAAACTGATAAATTTAATAAATACAAAGAATCGTCTAGAAGGTACCGCGAGCATATTTATTTTTTTCTATAGAACAATTTTGAAGTGTGACCCCCTTCAAAAAACTACAAAAAAAAAAAACAAAATAGTGCGTCGTAATTTGCGACTAGTTTACCGTATCCAAATGAAATGGAGCGTTAACACTGCCTTGCTTTCATTACAAACACACAAATATTAATATACCTACGTATACAGTCCAGTACAGAAGTGTTTTCACCATTTAATATTTTGGAATAAAAAATTAACAAATAAAAAAAAAAATTATACAAAAAATAAAGTATTATATAAATAGATTCAGAATAGGCGAAGTTATCGCGTGACATACGATTTCTTTTATGTAACTCAGAATGGAAAACTAGCTGGTGGTCCACCTAATGGAAACTGGCAACCGTCGCCTATATACATGAACAGTTCAGAGTATACTGTTTCACCCATGATACCCCCCATGCGTTGCCATTCTTGACGACTAAGGTGTTATGTCACTGTACCCTTATAGATTTACATAAAAAAAATTTAACTAAGTTGATACCCTCCTACTTTTATTGAAGTTGTTTGAAAAAAAATATGAATATTGGTTTAGAATTTGCAAAATTATTAGATGAACTTTAAATCTCTTCTTTTTAAAAGTTAAATACTAATTAATATGTGCAATTAATACATGTAATTAATTAAAATTAAAATTATTAATATGCAAGTAAATTTAGGATGATATTATAACAATATTTTTTCTTTCTTCTTCTTCGAACAATAATAATGATAAATCGTTTACGGTCGAAAAATGTAACACTTTTCAATTGGTCATTACTCATTCAGGACCGGTTTACGTTATAGGTTATGTCGCGTGCCAACCACTTATTTACCTATTTACAGTATTTATTTATGTAAATAACGGACAGACATACAGCGATTGAGGGAAGTCCGGGCAATAACCGACTGTGGAAAAAAGATTGATGGCTTTCAGTGTTCTTTGACAAAACCGTGCGTGTGTTTAAAGTATCACTTAAACTACACCGATTTAAAAAAAAAATGGAGATTGATAATTGGGCTGTATTTTTGTATGCATGTTTTTTTAATTGATGGTAATGGAATGGTAACCCTGCTTGAGGGATTGGTATACGCTGGCGGGCTCCAATGAGGGTGATAGGTGAGGATGAAAATGCAGGTCAGTTAGCCCATCGTGATGAATATACTTGGAATTCAGTATGATTGTTTAATATGATGTCCATGGCCACTTTCTACCATCGTACAGTTCGCCATCGACAAGGAGTTCACCCTAAGTTCCCCTAACTTTTCATCAACATCACGATTAACTTGTGCATATAATGTGTCATTCGGTTTAATGGATATATTCAATTGTACAAAAACAGCCTATAAAAAAGGGGTTATTCAAATTGTAAGCAAACGATATGCTTTTGATATATTATTGAGCTTTTCTGCATATTTTTTTAATATAACACGTAAACTTAATATAAGTAACTCTTTTTTTTTTTTGAGCTAATTTAATTTGTGGTTGCTATTTAGTGTATGTGTGTGTGTGTGTGTGTGTGTGTGTGTGTGTGTGTGTGTGCATATGTGTGTGTGTGTATACGTATATGTATGTATGTATGTGTGTGTATGTGTATATGTATGCGTATATTTGTGTATTGGTGCATATGTATGTATTTGTTAAGGAATGTATATATCTGTTGCGTATGTGTAAAAATATTATTGTGACTTCAACGATTGCCTACCTATTTGATTTGTTTATTTTTTCTGCTTTTCCTTTAACAATTGTCAACTACATAATCTACAGAATTTAATTAAAAAAAAAACCTGTTATTGACCATACTGCTTTGTTTTTTTTTATACCACTGAGGTGGCAAACAAGCATACGGCCCACCTGATGGTAAGTGGTTACCTGCAATACTAGAGATATTACGCGTGCATTGCCGACCCCGTTATAAAATGTTTGTTAATTTTATTTGTAAACCGCTGTTTCTGTTTTTTTTTTTTAATAAATAAATAAATAAATAAACATCTTACTAGCTATATCCCGTAGCTGTGTCCACGTGAAACAGTACATTGAGTATATTGCTAAATTACGATGTAACCTACCCGTGTGTTAAATTTTTTTTTAAATCCTCCAGTAGTTTTTGCGTGAAAGAGTAACCATTTACCCAAATATCTATCAATCATTACAAAATTTCGCATTTATTCAATTAATAGGATTTTCCTTTTTTTATATTGGTATTTTTTACTTTTTTTATACAACTTAGAAAGGTATACAAGCTGACGGCCCACCTGATGGAAAGTGGTAACTGTCGCCTATAGACATGAGCAGTACCATGCACATAACAGAGTATACTGTTTCGCCCATGATACCCCTCATGCGTTGCCATTCCTGAGGACTCAGGTGTTTTTCCTCTGTACCCAGTAAATTCACGCCATATCCCACCCTTCAAACCGATACACAGCCATGCAAACACAACTGCTTCACGGTTGAAACACGAACGGGACAGAGGTACCCAAGCAATCGACTTTTGTACAAAGTCTCCCTCTGGTATGTTGTGTTTAATTACATTACTCAACTTTTACAATGGTCTAGGAATGAGACGTATCACATATCACACTGTATTATTATCATACTTTGTCATCATAATGAACAGTTTTTATAGTTTTGCTCTAATCAGACATGTTCCGGTAAATATATTTACTGTAATATTGTATTTGAACGTATCATTATGTCCCTAACCAATGTCTCTACGCATCGTGCGCAAACAGTGATTAGAAGGTAATACGATATTATTTAGATAATTTCTGTTAGAACACGAGTACCTACATTAACATGGATTCCAGACAGTCGAATGACGTATAAGTTATTTTTTGTAGACGTCATTATGACGTACGAGAGCGGAATGTTTTGGGACGTAGATATTTGATGACCTGATGACAGTTCATAGAAATTGATAAATTTATTTAAAAATTAGTTTTATAAATTAGAATA